ATAAATATGCAATACATATATATATATATATATAAACAGTAATCAACTTTGTAATTAACATAGTATTATATAATTATTATATTACTATTATGAACTTTTTATTTTTTTATTTTATTTACTTATTCAATTTTATTGTTTTACACGTGTCCCAGAACCATAATTTTAAATTTAAAAAAATAAATCGTGCAAACTGTGATGCTGCTTACTCACTTTTTCTCCCATAAAACCACAGCAGTATTATCATATTCTAGTGGAGTTGTTTTGTCTTTTGGCTTCCATAAATCTATTCATAAGAATGTATAAACATGCAAAAATATAATTGGTACTTTACCGTTGAGTTCACAGCCCACCAGCTCTATTCTCAGAGTACAGGCTTTGCGGCAAACAACAGGAATGATTCGCATGTACTGAGCTATGATTGGAGGGTCGAACAAATTGGTCTTTGTCCCATCGTTGTCCATATTACCAACAAAGATCTGAAGAACAGAAATGTATACATTCATTAGTTACTTAAAAATTATAATATAATTACAGGTTATGAAACATATGACAAATGCTATTGAATAAATTACTATTACATTTAAAATTATGGTGATCCAAACAAACAGTGAAATAATCAGAAACTCTTTCAATGTTTCAGAGTGAAAATTATTTATATACATATTTTAGCAACTACAACTGGCCAAAAGTGCCCACAGTTAAACACCCAAAAATTCCAAACCAAAACAGCCACTAAAAATAATGCAGAACAGAAAAATGAGTGAATTATCACCATGTCGTTGCTCTGGCCCTCAGGTCTGTACATGGTGTAGGTTCGCCCATCCAAACTGGATGCTACTTTGAAGGCTTTGATGAACTCGGCTGTGCCCATGCGACTGGCACCCTGGGTAATGATGCCAGTGAAACGCATCGTCCTCTGCAGATTGATCTGTTATAAATTGAGTCATTAAATGAGTCATTTTTGGGTGAATACAGATAATATTTGAACTCCAAATACATATTTAACCAATAAACTGAACAGACTGGTTTACCTCCATCCAGGGGTTCTTGTCGTGTGTCGCAGAGGTCCAAGCATTAACGAGTCCCTTGTTATTCAGTCGGGCCAATTCGGGCCCCCAACGCTGCAGTCCCAGAATGCCGTAGTACACAGAAGAGGCAGAAATCTGAGACTCTGCGATGCCTCCTCCTTCCATTCCCAGCAGAGATATGCATCCTGGGAACCAAAGGCAGACATTAGCAGATATTAGTGCTCAGGAGACAAACAGGCTTACTGTGCGACAGACAGATGGATAAACAGTGTGATGACCGCATTCACAGGGGAGAGAAATAGCCATTGTGTACTGAATGAAGTCACCAATTGAAAAGCCAAATATGTGGAGGAAATAAAGGGGAAAAACAGTTTGTGTACAGGAGCTGGACATGTGTGTACTGGCAGTGTCCTACTTACGCAGATGGCAGTGCTTTCCCACATATGGTGAGTGACATTTACAGGTGAAATCGCCATCAAGATCTCGACAGGTGCCTCCGTTCTGACAGGGCTGGCCGGCACAGTCATTCACATCTGCATGAATCATAAGGTTTCTGTAAAACTCATCAAAACTAGTCTGGACAAGCAAAACAGTTGTCAAAAGTAAAGCAATTTTCTTTGTGACCTCTAGATGGCAACATGCAACTTCTACAACAGTCTGAGGTACATAAAGATAAAATATAAAGATAAAATTCTTTGCTTCAAAAGATAAAATCATCTAATATATATATTCTGAAAAATGGTTTCCAAATGAAGTTTGTAACATGAAAAATCCTTTAAAGTTGCCTATATTTATCTATGTATTGGCCATAATAAACATATAAACACATTCTTATTGCTTGAACAGTTTTAAGTGTCTCCAAAAAAAAACTCTTCTCTTAAAAAAAACTCTTCTCTCTGTCTCTTTATTAAAGCACAAAAACTCAAAAATATCTCATATGAAAAAATTAAGATATAGTGGTCCTGATAAAAATAAAAAATAAAAATGTATATCACTTAATTATAACAAAATCAAACCAAGTGGCATTCACAAAAAAAAAAAACATTTGTTTAGATTTTAAAATTAAACTAATAAACCATTTTAATAAAATGTTGTAACGCACAGATGTAATAACATAGATGTAATGCAGTGTCATTACAATTTTTGGTGTGAGCAAATACTCAATGCTCTTATTGTCAATATTACTGTATATAAAAGTCAAACAAAAACTCAAAAAAGGAACAAGCAAGAACGGAGAGGGAACTGAGGGCACATAAAGGGAACCCACATATGACAAAGCATAATCTCAGCACGACTGGCTCTTTAAGAGGACATAGGAGACTGAGGCAGACCTGCTGAAGTTTCTAATCCACTTACGAGCAACAGGGCCAGATCAGATCACCAACATGCTTCAAACACAAGTGTGTCAGAATTATTAAAAGGTCAACATGATGACGCAGAGCAAGGGTGTATAATGGTCCTCATGTACCTGAAGTGCGCTATATGTTGTGGGGGAAAAGACTGGTATGGATTTCAGCTTTAAAATGGCACCAATCAGAAGGAAATCAGTGGGATTATCTGGTGTGTGCATATGGAGCGTGACTGGGTGTGATCGGTCACAGTGGTCCAGTGCCAACACAGTGCTCAGACATACTGAAACACCTCTAAACCTCCAGAGGTCAGCGAGTAGCACTTCCCTGTTCCCTGTAAGTGTTAAGAGCATCACTACGTGCTCGACTGACCTAAAATGACTAGCTGGGTGTATCTACATTCATTTCAGGCTGCATTTTTTGCCTAATCTGTGTAACCTCTAAATTAATATGTTGTCATAAAAACTCAAAAATTAGCCAAATGCATTTTTTGGTTTTACAACAGAACGTCAACTTCCCAATAGTATTGTCAACTACCCACATGTTGCAAACACTGTAAACTCTACAATGGGTTAAACCGCTAACAAGCTAATTAGGTTTTTAGCCAACTTTCCAAAAGCATTTAATGTCAAAATGCTCCCAAATGCTAACTGCTAATGCTAATATTATCAACTCTACAATGCTCTAAAATACAACTCTTAATTTAATATTTAGGGGTTTAGCATTGAACCAAAAACTAGCATTAAGATATGAGACACCACATTTGTCATTTGTAATGATGAAGTTACAATTCAGTACATTTAAAATATACAAACTTTAAATGTAATATCAAATAACACACTGCAGTAAATTTATAATCAATTACTTCACACGTGCATTAGTATGTTAGTCAACACAACACCATGTCAACACAAATAAGTGTACTTATCAAAAGATTATTAAAACAATGACTTAAAATGTACTTTAAGGTAAACTTTAAACATTACAAAGTCCACTTAGAACTTAAAAATTGTGTTAAGAAACACAATGAAAGTCATGAAAGTATACTCTCTTTAAGTACATTTAAATGGCCTTTTATTTCATTAATATTATATTATCTGCTACTACAGTTTTTTTTAAACATACTTTTAAGATTTGAAGTGCACTACAAATGCATATTCAATACAATTAAGCACACTTCTTTTTCACAAGTGCCTTACAGTTCAAGTTCCCATTTCAAGCCTGGCAACTCAGAATAAAACTGTAAAATGTTAGCGTTTTTTTCCTAATGTTAATGTGAAGAAGCGAATCATTGCTACCCACTAAGAAGCAATTCAACACAGTAGTGCACTGTATTACTCCGAGAACATCAATATCTAGCTACATAATGTGAAATGCAATCTTATGTCAGTTGCAACATCATCCAAATCAACAAAATGCAAGGTTAGCAGGTCTCCACTTCCACATGTGACAGTGAAATCCAAGAGAAAAGACTGAACCACGCTGAGAAGGAACAAATGAAAGCTTTTTTTCCAGTAATGTTGTCTTGAAACAGCCTCCCTTACAATACAGTAGCTGTATTTTTTTTAAACCAGCCCCGGTACTGTGGACCAGTGTTGTTAATGTTAATTAAAATGATTACTATTACAATATTGAATTAGTTGAAATAAAGTTGAAATAAAATTATTTAAACTTTTTAAAACAAAATTAGAAATGTTGCCTTGGCTACTGAAATAATATAAGTTTAAATTTAAAAATGACTAAAAATACAACTGAAATAAAAATAAAAGGTAAATAAAAATGTGTAAAAAAAAAAAAAAAAAGGAATAAAAAGTATAACAAAAATCTCCTTTATTAAATTTAAATACTAAATTTAAATAAATTAAAATTTAAATGTAAAATATAAAGATAAAAGCTCATTTAAAATATTAATAAATACTATAATAGTATATAAATATTATACTGCTGTGGACCACAGTTTGGTAAGAAATGCTTTATGCTAAAGCTCTAACTGGCCATTAAAATCCCTTAAATCGCAATGTTAAGAAAGATTAGCAAGAAAAAAGGAAAATAAAGACACTAGTTGAGAAAAATACAGCAATTAGAAGTGAGAAATTCGAGTGA